CATTTTTGGGTCATGGGGGTCGCTGGTGCCCATGTCCAGCAATCACTGTGTGAGGGGCGGGGTACACCCTGGACGGGTCGCAAGTCCATTACAGGGACACATAGAGACAAACGAGACAAACAACCATTCACTCTCTCACTCACACCTAGGGACAATTTAGAGTTACCAATCAGCCTAACATGCATGTTTTTGGTCTGTGGGAGGAAACCGGAGTACCCGGAGAAAACCCACGCATGCACGGAGAGAACATACAAACTCCACCCAGAAAGGCCCCTGGACCGGGGTTTGAACCAAGGACCTGCTCGCTGAGAGGCAGCAGCTCTACCAGTTGCGCCACCGTGCTGCACTGGCATTTTTTTTCCAACTAATGCAAATGTCAAAAAGTCACTTGTCAGAATATTGTCCTCCATGTAAGCATGGTCTTTATGGTTTGTTCAGTGTCGTAGTCTCCTCTTTTCTGGTGTGACTAACTCTAACATGCACAGTTGATCTCTCCTGACAGCCCTTTGACTCATAAAATAGGTGCCATGCGACCAACATTTGCCATGTTTTTCTCTGGCCTGCTAATAAATCAGATCACACTAGATTAATGGTGAGATGGATCTTTTAAAAAATCCCTCCTGTGCAGCACTCGGACACTTACGTTTGTTTAGCTTTCACTCTGTATATGTGTACGTTAGGAGGTTATGAGAACAGTGATTTGAAAGGAAGCATGAATGACTCTTGAGCGAGCGTAGCAGCATGTGCGCGTACACATGTGTGTGCTTGCGTGCACGCGTGTGTGTCATCTCCAGCTGAGCAGCAGGATGCAGACAACCAGGAAGAGATAAGCAAGGGTGAATGGAGGGAGCTTTGCATGTGTGTGCGTGTGTGTGTATCAAGTGTGTGAGCTCGCTCACATTTGTGGGGAAATCACTTCACAAAGACCTGGAAGTGTGTGTTCCCCTGTCTGCCAGTGCGGGACTCAGAGGAGATAAGCAGACAGCCAAATATCCCCCCCCCCCCCCTGTGTTTTCCCAGCAAAAACAAGAGGTGAAATACCAACCGCTCAGACCGATGCCACAGGGTCAGGTCTGGAATGAGCTGGGCTTCCATGTCTTACTCAGAGGAACACTAAACTACTAAACTACCTTCATGCACTGTCAATATAAACATAATGGACCTAACTCAATTATTTTGCTACTTTCTTTCAGAAAGTCCAATTTATGTGTGCAAGCATGGTTTAAACCCAGCTGTGTATTAAAATAGACATAAAAATAATACATTTATGTTCTGCAGATACAAGATGATAAACATCTACATGTGCCTCTTCATATAATTTAATGCGTTTAGGTACATGCATGTGATTGTTTGATGTACACAAGAACTAAAGAACTCAAAGAAAAGTGGCAAGGGTTGAGAAGAAATACTCAATAAAATGATGAAAAAACAAGAATTATGCACCAAAGTCCATGCTCAATAATCCAGGTGTAAAATCCAACAATGTTCAGTCAAGTCATCTGGATGGTTTCTCTCTTTTTTGGGGCTGAGATGTTTCGCCCCCATTCAGAATGCTTCATCAGTCTGGAGGACGAAATGTCTCAGCACAAAAATAAAGAAACTGTCCAGATGACCTGACTGAACATTGTAGGAATTATGCAGCACATCCACTGAGGTAGATGAGGTTTATTGAGAAAAAAGGGTTGTAAGCTCAATCATCCAGGTAGATAGCAACAAAAAAAGGTTAAATCATTTCATCTGGACCAGTTTCTTTAAGTGAGAAATCCAGGCAGAACTGGTTTGTTCCACTTTGGAGTAAGCTGTTGGCGAAAGAATCAGTTTTGTTGTGTGTTTCCTTGACTGATGAAGCCTTCTGGATCCAAGGCGAAACGTTTCAGCACAAAAAAAGAAACTGTCCAGATGACCTGGCTGAAAAATGTGGGATTTTATACCTGGATTATTGAGCATGGACTTTGTTGTTAAGTGAGAAATGTTTCGTCCCCCATCCAGAGGACTTCCTCAGTCTACGGCCTGCCAACCAGATCTGTCCCATAGGCAGCCTTCACTGCTGTGTTTCAAGCCAACCTCCTGTTGGAATCCCAGAAGCTTTTAACACGTGCAAACAGAGCACACCCGTTCAAAACAATCAGTCATCATGTACAACAATCAAATGTTTTGTTGAGAAAAGTTTTCAAGTTGCTGCAGACACACAAGAGCTCAGTCCAAGTTGTATTTCTTGATTGATGGAGTTTTAAGATGTGTGTAAATGGTTCACACTTGTAGAGTACTTTTTAACCTCTCCTTTGTTTCTGCACTGTGCCGTATTGTTTCTTATTGAGATATATATATATATTGCACTTGTATGCTCTCTCTCCTTCATCAATAAGCATACTGGGGGCCATGGGGCTTCAGTGCGTTGCCCAAGGGCAGTGTGCAACATTACAGAATGATAAACCTCCTCACCACTGGGTCAAAGCTGACAAACTGTGAGCTTTAAATGAGCTCTCACTTGTAAAATAGTCATGATGACAGTTTGTTGAGGTGTGATCAGATCAGTCAAAGACATTAAGAAGATTATTTTTATTAATTCAAGAAATAACAAGATTAATGAAACTATAGCCCCCTGCTCAGTCTCTTTAAAACCATTTAAAATGTGTGCGTGTGTGTGTGCGTGCGTGTAAAAATGCTTCACACTTGGTCTCTGAAGAATACGGAGTTGCTTTCCCTACTATTGTATTGGCTTTTAAACAATGTCAAAACTAATTTGAACCCCCATTTTTTTTTAATCATTGCTGTCATACAATTATCTTTTTATAAAAGAAATCACTAAAATTTATAAATTTTATGAAAATTTTGCTTTAGCTTTGTTTAATTCTGGGTTTTTATAAGCATTTTGTGCAGCTTCCTGCCATAAAATTACAAAAAAATGTATTCAAATGCAGCATGATGGACTTGCGACCTGTCCAGGTTGTCCCCCACTTCTCCCACAATGACGTGAATATGGGCACCAGTGCCACCTCTAACCGAAAAAAGGAAAAAGCGAGTCAACTTAATGGATGGATGGATACATTTAAAACTTTTAAAAGTAGCCCTGCCTGAATAAATGCATGTTACCTGCTACTTTGCATGCCAAAGTTTAAAACAAAGATTTGTTACCAATCTGTTTCCACTCAGAGTATGTATTGGGGATGACAGTGCACCAGTTACCTCATCCAGTCTGTAAAACTGGTTGAGTTATAGCTATTTTGTGTTTTTTTTATATTGACTAATTGTGGCAGCAAGTTTGATAGAAAGTTCAATGTGCAGTTGGCAATTACATTTTTAAAGTTGTATTAACATATTTTCAGTAGTTGATGAGTTATTTTGCTAACAGTCAAAGACCCAGGAAATTACTTTACATGCTTGAACATCTTTCATCTAATTATGCAGAACTGTGTCATTTTGAGCTTCATTGTCACAAGACAAGAATATGAACAAGTGATCTTGTTTATAGCATAAAATGAATCATTGCCACTCAGATGTTTTATTTTTTATATTAATATACGGGCGACATGGTGGCGCAGTTGGTAGAGCTGCCACCTCACACTGAAAAGGATGCTGGTTCAAATCCCAGCCAGGAACCTTTCTGGATGGAGTTTGCATGTTCTCTCTGTGCATGTGTGGGTTTTCTTCTGGTACTCCGGATTCCTCCCACAGACCAAAAACCTGCATGTTAATTGGGATGCGTACTATATACCAGAACTTACGGTAATCAGTTCAGAGCATTAACACTGCACTCACCCTCTAAAACAAATACAATGTTGTACACACCATTACAGGACTGAACAGCAAAATTATGAGTTAATAAAAGTAGAAAAGGGAGAATAAAAAAATGTAAATGTTGAGAAAATACATCAATTCTAAAAAAGGAATATTATGGGGACATGGCATTTCAGTTTGTTTCTTACAACTCTTTTTATGCAGGCGAAAACAAACAATTTAATTACACAACCAAATATTAACAGCTCAAAAAATATATAAATTTGGCAACTACATCCATGCAGAACATCTTTAAGATTAAAGATGACTGTTTTTGGACTAATTAAAAAATAATAATAATTGTTTTTTCTCCTTTTGCAGGACTGCTGGTGTTGGAACATTTGACTTCGACAACCATTAAATCTCTTTACAAAGTTGTTTCTTCCTTTATCAAAAGACTATTTTAAATAGTAGAGTGTTCATTCAAAGTATGTGATTAAACATATTTTCCTACATGGTTACTAAAGCACATGTACATCTATATCAAAAGTGAAAATGTAAACATGCTTAGACGTAAATAATGCTGTAAAAATAAGGAATGAAAACATAAATGTAGCTCATTTTGAACAGGGAGTTGAATGGAAATCAAACTTCTTCAAGCTTTTTGTCAGAAACTTTAGTGGAACTGTGTGAAAACTCAAATACACAGAGGATGAAGAACAAATTTATTGGATGAGTTAAAAAAAACACTTTTATCGAGTAGATATTTCACCAATACATCTTAATTATGTGTTATTAACCTGCAGAGTACCACACATCATCATCATCATCATCATCATCTCTCTCTCTCTCTTTCTGAGGGAGAGGTGGTGCAGTACATTCCAGCTGTTTTCCCTCTCCACACATGGTTCATTTAACATCTGGACGCAATCGCCAGCTGCTCTTTTCAGACCGACAGGCGCAGCCACACGGATTCATGCAGGTGATGCACGCGCTGCATGCGCGTGCCGCGAAAAGTGCAGCCTGACTGGAAAACGCGGCTTAGCGCGAGCGTCACACGGCTGCACGTGGCGTCCATCTGCGGGATCACCACAAACACGGACTTATCTTTTATAAAGGAAGGTGGGGGGGAAGAAGGGGCATCTGGACCAGTGCGCGCACATACGCGCTGTCATCACTCATACGCACGTGCCTCAATAGAACCAGAAGTAGCAGGGGGATCAGTGTGACCGCACGAGCTCATTTCTGGTGTGAAACTGGAATGAAGTGAAAACGTGACTCACCAGCTTTGCACGGATCCTTGTAGTCGATTGTATCTGCTCGTTCCTCCTCGTAATAATCAAAGTCTGGCTCCTCGTAATCGAAACAGTTAGAAATAGCAACTTTGCCCCAGAAAGTCAAGCCCGCGAGCACCAGCGTGATCCAGCGCATCTTGGCAGCCAGTGCCAAGGACACTGGGTCCATCTGAGGACTGGGACAAACGAAGAAAAGGCCTCGACTCGTCTCTTTTGCTCTTAGGAGGCAGGCTGTCCTCTCTCCGAAGGAAGCGGGGACTTTATCGGGTCATGGTGGTGGTTTCTGCCCCACTCCTTCGGCCTGCCTGTGGGTAGGGGGTGACTTACTCCGCCCGGAGGTCCTTCATGCTGGGAATGTCCTGATGTGTGTCCCGGTGGGTGTCAGTCAGCAACGTGTCCGCTGGGGAGCTCTGCTGTCCTCCGCTGAGGTGAGGCTGCTGTGGGACAGAGACAGGAGAGAGAGAGAGAAGCGGTGGGATGGGGACTGTGTGGTGCCTGAGCGTAAAGACGCACGGTGGTGTCTCTGCTGCGCACACAAGAAACATCCGTTTCGCGTATTTCCAGCCATCTCTCTCTCTCTCTCTCTCTCTCTCTCTCGCTCTCTCTCTCTTGCTCTCTCTCTCTCATCCTATGGTGGTAGAAGCCCCATCAGCGCACCGCCCTCACACACACGCTCACAAGGTTTCCACCCAAGTGACAAGACACCCAAACTTTCTTTGTCTCCTTTTGTCGTGCGTGTGTCCCCCCCCCCCCCCCCCCTCCAACACACACACACACACACACACACACACCTCTACAATAAATCTCTGACCTTTCCTCTGATGTCAGCGCAGCGGCAGCGGAGGAAGCGCATTTTAATAATAACAGCCAATTTGACCCGAAGACCCGCAAAATAAAAAGAGCCTTGCATGAATGGGACCGGTGGCGTTAAAGGTAACAAGCTTTTAACAAATGCGCCTGCGGGTTTCAGCGGTTGTTGCCTGCTCATTTAGACCAAGTGCCAAGTAGGTGACAGCTCATGCACATAGGAAACCTTTAGTGTAGAGGCGTGACACGCTTTGATTCTGTTTCTTTCTCCTCGCTGGGTTTGAAACACAAATTCATACCTTCTGCGTGAAAGGCGCAACTCTGCATTCTTTACTGCAACCCTGAGCGGAACTGGCTGTCTTTATGAGTGCATGAAGCATCAGAAGAATTAAAACTACAACAATATTTGGCCTGTTTGTCTCTCATTTTTGCGCGGACTATAAAAGTTCCTTTGCTTTGCAGCATTAACAAAAAACGCAAACCAAACATTGAACAATTGAATAATACATGGGGCAGTTGTTGATAGAGAAGGAGCTCTGTGAACACCTTGCCGAGGTCAATCCTCCTCAGACGACCTCTCCGCAGCTTACCTGCTGCGTCTACCTGTCCGGAGCGCGCCACCGGCTCGCCGCTGCGCCACTGCCCAGCCCATCATGCCTTAAAAGCGACTTCCTGGAGATTCTGAGGAGGTCTCTTTTTGGTATCACTTAAGTTCCGAACGTGTCCGTCACCACTTCCCCCATCACCGCCACCATTTATCACCGGGAGATTACCGGAGCGCGCGCTCTCTCTCTCTTTTGCTTCAGACTAATCCTGCTGTCTGGAGAGGTGCAGGCGCGCTGACGTCACGCCATCAATCCAGCCACAAGCTGTCAACTATACACCCCCCATCCCCAGGCATGAACACAAAATAATCCCCTGGAGGCGACACACATGCATTCACACATAAGAAGTTAATTTGCTGCGAGTCAACTCTCATGATCTCTGTCCCATGAAAAGGTCTAAACTAGACGGTAATAGAAAAGTAACAACAATCTGCAGTTCACTACAAAAAATAGTTTTTTTTTTCGGGAAATGTTCATAATTAAGCATGTGCATGTGATGAGCAAGTGCAGAAGGTGCATTCAAACATGAAGTGGCACAGTCTGCGAAATCAGGATTAAATTCAAAATACCAGCAGGGGGTGCTAAATTACCAGTGCTTAGCTCAGCAAAAAGGGCACAATTTCCAGTTCTTAGCAATAAAGTACCGCAAATCATTGAATTTAAGTTCAATAAGGTGTTTTATTTCAGGACCAAACTGCAGCTGCAGCAGTTTCACTCCAGCAGGCCAGCGGCTGCAGCAGCTGCTCAGGATACATTTGTTCACTTCATGGATTAGCATGTTGGCACATCTGTGAGAAACCAAAAACATTAATTCATTCAACCTTTATTTATACAGGTTAGTCCAATTGAGTCTCTGGGACTCATTTACAAGAGAGACCTGAACATACAACACAAAGTTGATCATTTAGGTCTCATTTGCAGTGACATGCACTGAATGTTGTTAAAGCAAAACTTTAGCTCATTTATTAAAGTGATATCCTGTGGAAAAGTTGTCAAAATTGATTTTTGAACAACCTCAGTCTGAAGAAATGGAGTTTACTGTAATTCTGATCTGATTTATGAGATAATCGTTAGTTTGATTGGAACAAAGACAAAGTGGACTTCTGCTGTCTTAAAACAACTACCTATATTTTTAAATGACGGGTTCATGCAGACACTATGGCTTTACGTCATTGATATTTCACATTGCACCAAGCTGAGGTATGTAAAACAGTTTTCTCATGAGTCACTATGAAAACTCTTGACTTATTTATTCATTAACCTTTATTTAACCAGGCAAATTCCATTGACAACACATATTTCATTTGCAAGATAAGCCTGAAGGCAGCCTAACATGCATGTTTTTGATCTGTTGGAAGAAATTGGAGTACATGGAGAAAACCTAGACAAGCACGAGAAGAACATGCAAACTCCACACGGAAAGATCCCAGGTCCAACTGGGGATTGAATCCAGGACCTCCTTGCTGTGAGGCAACATTGCTAACCACTGAGCCATCGTGCTGCCACAAAGTTTTGCTGACTTAAAGATGTTTTAAGATGACAGCAGTCTACTACCTTGGTCCTGCTTCACTCACACTAGCTCATCAGTGCAGTCGGAAATCAGTTTATTCCAAATTCATGTTGTTCAGAAAGTCAAAGCAGCAGGTAAGATAATAAATGTTCATGCCATTTATATATGGTAACTGGACTGTACTTATGTAGAACGTTTCTATTTAATCAATATACTCAAAGCACTTTACACTACAATCTGTGCCCTCATATACTTACACACACACATTCATACAGCACTCTACTAGATATCTGCAAAGATAATCAAACAGATCATTTTGTACGGACTGTGTGTGTGTGTAGATAGATAGATAGATAGATAGATAGATAGATAGATAGATAGATAG